CTGGAACAATGAAAAACAAAAAAACAAAAAAAAAATACAGCGAAATGTTAGGAGAGAGAAAGAGAGAGAGAGAAAGAGAGGGGGAGAGATCTCTAACGACGCGGTTACGAGGTGCGTAGCCTAGGGGGTAGACGTTCGAGTGGCGGCGGGTCTCGTTGTTCCTCGCTCGTTCGAACGCCTCTCGCGCCCGGCCAAGTTCCCCAGACTTCGTTATGGGGAAGGATACTCGAGGGGAGATGACAACGGTGAGAAAGTCGAGTGTCGATCATCGATTTTATCTCGAAATGAAAATACCGCGGGATCGCTTTTCAATTTACCTCGTTGGATTTCGATATTGATTTTTCACTTGTTGCGCTGATTCGCAAATCTTTGGAGAATAAGCTCCTCGTAAAAGAGAGCGTGGATTATGAAATTTGCACGGAAGGATCCGCGATTAGAGATTTGCGGTTAATACGGGGATTTGCGAAATCTTTGGGACGAGGGAGGCTTCGATTCGTACGGCAAACGCGGACCGATGGATTATTAAATTTGTACGGAATTCACGTTCGCTCGTTAATTCGCCACTCTTCGAACGAGGGGAAGAGGGGAGAACGAACGGTGTGGTACGAATAATTTAAATTCAAAAAATCTCTACTTCTCGAGCATTAACATGTTTTATCTCGTTTTGCGGAAACGCGCGGAGCTTTTTAAATGCAGGGAGCGACAAACGCGATACGAAACGTTTTTCGTCGATAAAACAAAGTTTCATAAGCCGAAACTAACAGAACCGAGCTGAAAACTCGAAAAATAACGCGTTTAAAAAACAAGCCTGAAGGGTTGCCCGAAGTCGTTTTGCCGATGTCAACCGATTTTTATTTAGCGGCAGACGGGGTGTTCTATTAAAACCGATACAGACTCTACGCTCTAATTACGCTCCTTGAATATTTGACGGATTCTCGTACGCCATCTAAATACGCTCGATGTTTCATAACACAATTTGCGCCGAATTGTCTCGGTCGAATTAAAATTTGAATCTTTAATAATAACAGACTTCTAGACGTACTCGTTTCAAAGTGTTTCGCTTAAAATACATGGTACCACGAACCAATACGAATATTCGCAAAAATTTCGCTTAAAATCTATCCTGTCGTATGTCGAAACGTCGTTGTTCAACGACGAACGATTTAAAAATTTCTAAAAGAAAAAAAAAAAATAATTCAGCTTCCAGCACACCATCGCACGAGAGATACAGAACAAAGCCGTTACGCTTGTTTGACTACGTATCCTCGTGTCACTTACCGTTAACCGATCGCGCGACTGACGCAATCTCGAGACACGGTGTACACAGGCAGTGTCACGAGACACGGGGCAAACTCGAATAATTAATTCGGTCGCGCGGCGGTAGATGGCTACGGATATATTAGTTGGACAACGCGCGGCTCGATGTTTCGCGGATGCGAGAGAAAAGACGTGGAATACGATACACGGGAGGGGGGCGATTCCCCGCGTTTGGACTTTGATCGAGTGCGCAGCGGTAATTGCGCCGGAAGTGAATAAGTAACGGGCGAGACGGTAGTAAGAAGTCGGCCGGTCGTAGGCCTCGCGCTCTCCCCATTAAACATACATGCGGCGACTTACGACTTACGCGGTGGAAAATTCACAACAGTTTGACGCGTGTACGCCTCGTATACGTTATATCTATATACCATATACCTGCGCGTCTCTCCTCTCCTCTCCTCTCCCTTGGAAAATTCTTTCAACTCGGTCGAGGAATTATTGAACGAGACGCGCAAGTGCGCGGTAGCCTCGATTGCTGATCAAACAAAGTGCTCCAACCGCCTGTTATTACCGCCTATCGCGGATGAACTTTCTCCCTCACGGATCTCATCCGGCGCATGAAAAAAAAACGATGAAACCTCGCTTCGAAAAAGAAAGAAGAAGAAGAAACGGAACGCGTTTCGTTTCGACACGTTTCCACGTAGTGGTGGTGACTCTCGGTTTAAAACATTCCGATCGATTCCCCTCCCCCTTCACTCTTTATCCCTTCCAATAACGAAATTATTCGTCGATTGTTTTCTTTTCATCTCGGCTCGGGGGTGAAAGCGGATTATCGATGCTCGACGGGGAGGTATGCGACGCGTCGTTGTCTCGATCGTGGGCCAAGCGTTTCGCGATTATTATTCCATCGACGCGACGAGAGAAGAAGGTCCGTTTCGCGATCGGTATCTCTCTACGTACCCGACCCACACACACACACACACACACACGTACATATACCCGTGTACATCCGTGCTACCTGCCTCGTTTACCTCGTGCATACGCGTAAGAGGGAACACGGGTTAAGGGTAGGGAGGGGGGCCCGCGGGTTAAGCCACGGGTGTAAGCCCTCCCCGTGATATCCTAGTTCGACGCGGAATCTCTTCGTTTGCATAGCAATGAGTTTATGCAGATTAATACACGCGAAACGTCTACGCGTACAACGTCTCGTGGGATGTAAAGCAACCGGTACCTACACGGATCCGCGAGCGTGCATGCATATTTTATTGGCGGCACCCGCCCTCAAGGATCTCTC